TTGAGACATCCATGAAATTTCCCGGAACCCTAACTAAGTGGAGACTGATGAATCACCTTGACCCTGCAACAGCATATAGTCCTTTAGAATAGATGCTGTATTCAAAGCTGGCAGGAGAATGCAGGATAGATTTTATCAACTTCACAGGTTCAGGGCTTCCCTTTTCTTTATGATAAGTTGATTTAGTACCTTCTGTCCACATAACAATGGATTCAGCTTCCCTTTACCAAACGTAACAATTTCTAGTTCTACCTTGCTGATATTCCACCTTGATTTCCCCTACATACTGAATGTTTGTGTCCCTTTCTCCTTTCAAATTCATATGCTGAAATTCTAACCCCTCAGTGTGATGGTACATTAGGACATCAGGCTTTTGGCAGGTGATGAGATCATGAGAATGAAGTCCTCATGAATGAGATTAGTACCCTTATAAAAGAGCATCTGGAGGCTTGGTGCCTGTAGCTCAGCGGCTAGGGTGCCAGTCACATACACCAGAGCTGGCGGGTTTGAATCCAGCCTGGGCCTGCCAAACAACAATGACAACCACAACCAAAAAATAGCTGGGTGCCTATAGTCCCAGCTACTTTGAAGGCAAGAGAATCGCTTAAGCCCAAGAGTTTGAGGTTGCTGTGAGCTGTGATGCCACAGCATTCTACCCAGGACAACTTGAGACTTTTCTCAGGAAAAAAAAAACAGCATCTGGAGAGTTCCCTTGCCCCTACCGCCATGTGAGGATACAGTAGGGGCAAGGGAAGATGGCAAACTATGAACTTCACTGTGGTGAGGGTATCTGCCTTCACCAGACACTGAATCTCCCAGTGCCTTGATCTTGGACTTCTCAGTCTCCAGAACTGTGATGAAAAGTTTCCTCATAGGTTTTTTTCTTTTGAAATGGGGTCTAGCTATGTTGCCCAGTTTGGCTTCATACTCCTGGCCTCAAGTGATCCTCTCACCTCAGCCTCCCAAGGAGGGGTGCAAGCCATAAAACCTGGCATGATAAACAACTTCCTGTTGTTCATAAACCAGCCTATGGTATTGTTATAGCAGCTTTAATGTGCTAAGACCCCTTGACTGATACCTGGGTGCTTCTAAATTCTTTAGCTATATACTTGGAATTTCTTGGTTTATTCATGTGGTTAGCTGGTCACACCCATTGTAGACAGATTTATAGTGTCTCAGAGAAGAATATTATTTCTAACTCTTTTGGGAGAACTTGATGTAATATTTGTTATCATGGGACTATAGTGAAGTAATGGACTGGAGGTATACTGGTGGTAATGGACTGGTGGCATGCTAGCCTCATATCAGGTATGTGTTGTAGCCTTCCTTTAGCCCACATGGGGAAGCCCAGGCTCAATCCCCTTAAAGGGCATGGGGACACCCACCCCAGCCCTGTAACCTACACCCAACTGATATTACACTTTATGCCAAATGGTCAATCAAAATGAGATCTGCTTGTTGAACTTACTACAATAATTGTCTTAGGCCTCCTTTCTTGGTTCCTGTCCTTGCTCTTCTACTCCTACTTCTACTTTTGGTTTTCTTGGCTTCCCCTCTCATTTCTAGTTCCCACATCCCAGATTTTGTTTCAACCCTTTGTTCTTTTCCTCTTCTGTCTTCCCACTCCTGTTCCCAACTGCCCCTTCTTCTACCCACTGAATCCCTGCTCCCCATCCTATACAGTTTGAATAAACAAATTTGCCTACATTGCTGTTTTGGTGAAGGCACTAGAAAGATCTGTGTGAACACTAAAAACCAAAGGTTCCTTGGGTTCATTCGTTCTTTAAAGAAACATTGATTGAAGTCGATGTGTGTGGCAGGCACAGTAGATGCAAAGTTAAATATTTTCCACCTTCAAGGAGCTCATAGTAGCAGGGGAATCCTGAATTTTGCTTTTTTGGAACATTTAGAAAGTCGGGAACAATTTAATACCTCTCTTTTCTTTGTTTCAATATAGTGGTGGACGATTCCACCACATGAATTTAAGACATTGCTAACTTTTGAGATTGTATTCCTGAATCCTGATTTTTCTACTGGTCACACTGGGCATGGATCTCCACAGCATTTGGGAATAGTGGCTACCCTCTCACTGCCATTCTTTTCTTTCCTGCTCCCTTGAACATTCCAGCTGCTCTTTGGGATTCCTTTTCCTTTGCTCACACCTACGATATCGGTGTTTCCCAGGTTTCATTCTGAGCTGCTTTACCTGCCTCCTTGGACAGGCCACACTAAACTTTCAGTGGGTTTCTCAACCGCGCCTACCTGAAACACTCTTTCCGATCCTATTTACTTGGTTGAAATCTCCATCATCAGGTTTTCCCCACCCATGTCTCCCTTGGGCAGGCTGCCATGGTCTCCTTTACTTGGCTCACCCCTATGTGGGATGGTTCATCCCTGCCCCCCACCTCGTCCCCAAAAGCCTGCAGATGTCGAAGTCAGGGACCGCACCAGAGTTTCCACCTCAGATCTGCCAGTGCCAGGACAGCATCTAGCCCTGTGAGCTCTTGCTGGATAAATGAAACACTGTGTAAGGCTCGTAACGCGAAAGAGGCCCACAGGCCACCCCTGAGGACTACACAGGACGCCTCCAGGCCGTGGGGACTTCAGAGTAAAACCCAACCCTACAAGATAGAGCACAGCCCCGAGGGCCCGGGGTGGGCGGGTTCAGGAGCGGGTCTGGAAGTCATCTGCTGGTGGGAGAGGGACCGGAGCCAGCAGGAAGGCGTCTCAGATGCCGCCGCGGCCGCGAGTTGCCCGCTCAGGGCGACGCGGAAGAAACCTGAGCGGCCCCTCGCCGGGCTCTTCTGCTCCAACATCAGAGGAACCGCGGGTGACCAGTTCCACCGCCAGGCGCTCGCCCCGCGCTCACCGCTCTTGGCCCCACCCAGCCACCGTTGCTCCCTAGAACACCGCGCCCGTGACCCGGAAGAGGATTCTCCTTAGCAACTGCGGGACCGCGGCGGCACCGGCCTCCCGGGAGCAACGGTGAGGCCCTCGCTTGTCCCCAGTGCCCCCTTTCCCTCCGCACATCCCGTCCGGGACCAGCCTCGCGTCTGGTCTCTCCGGGGACTCCGTGGCGCCCAGCCCAGCACCTGCGGCGCGGCCTGCGGCGAGCGGGTTCCTTCTCTGGCGTTGCTGCTCGGCCCAGGCGTCGCCCCTGCCCACCCCACGCCCCCCGCTACTGACTGGCCCGGCCTTCCAGGCAGCGCACTTCGCTCCCGCGCGGGGCAGGCCCTTCCTTGTAGCCTTGTATGGTGCGCGTGGGGGGAGACGAGCTTGTTGCTGTAGACAGGACGCTTCTGGAGAGAACACGTTCTCTTAGGTCCTGATGGAGATGTTCGGGACCAGCAGGGATGGGGCGCCTCGGGAATTTTGAACAGAAACTGCTTTATTATTATACTGTACCTGGCGTTTGCCTGCTGCTTTGCGCTTTCCAAAGTGATACACTTTGACCTGCTTTGTTGCTCGTAGGGACTCATTAATTGTACATTTGAACTGATCCTTTCCCTAGGAATTAGGTTTCCAATTGTGAGTGAGATTTAGTTGGTTAGTATATTCTGGAAATCTCTCAGGGACTGACTAGGTTTGAGAAAAGATTTCCAGTGACATTTGCTATGGTGATGGGAATAGGGGCAGGTGTTATTAATAATTACAGTTTACCTTGAAAAGACACTATGACACTGAAAATCTCTCTTACTTGAGTTTGAACAAATAGTGCTGAGAGATCTGTAAGCTTTATTTGAACATTGTAGGATAATGGCTTTATATTTAATCCAATGATGATGGAGCTAAAACTGAGTCATGTGAGCAATCTTTGGGAATTGTATCTATGCAAGACCAAATCTGCCTTCTATTTGGTAATAAAATGTAGGAGTTTAATACCAAAATTAATTTAAAGCCATATAATTTCATCTCGTGTCAATAAATATTTATTAAACACCTTCAAGGTTATGTGCACTTGAAAGGTTGTAGAAGAAATAAGAGACCCAATACATTAAATTGCTGGAAAAGCAATAAAATGGCATTTGTTTACAAAATGTGGTACAGATATTAAGTGCTATCAGAAGTCAGAGGGTGGAGAAATTCATGTGGGCTGGAGTTCCCAGGAATATGTTTGTGGATTAAATGGGATTTAATTTGCCTCTAAAGTATAGGTGTATTATTAATTTGTAGTTGTGTTGGAGAGAATGGCAAGTTCTAAATAATTTTTTATATTCTTAAGGGTTTGGGAAATAGTTCCACATGGCATTTTAAAGCCCTTATTTAAAGCTCTCAAGTCACTTGATTTTGGATTTATTACTTTCAAACTCTCTTAGTGTGGCATTTTTCCTGTTTGAGTCTACTAGCAGGGAGTTGCTACACAGATTCTTTTCTTTGCTTCTGTGGTTGGTTCTTTTATATATAACAGCACAGTTTAAATAGAGTTAGTTACTGTTTGATACATACATTAAGAATTCTATGATATGTTGCTCGTTATTTACTTGAGATATTTTCAGAGTGCTTCCTGTGTAGCAGGCATTGTGTGTCTGAAAATACTAAAAACAGTAGTTAGCAAACAGCAACCTTGTGTATGTGAGTGTGTGTGTGTGTTTAGCCTATCAGCCTTTGGTGCTAACATTTGCCCTGAGAAGTAGAAGGGCCAGAGCAATTTATACTTGTAGACATCTAAATTGACTTTTTTTTTTTTTAGTTTATTAGGGATTTTAGGCTCAGTTAATTTGGGCATCTACCAGATCACAGATAGATCTATGAAAATGTACAAACTCTTAATGAGGCTTCATAAGATGTTTTTTTGTTTTCTTACAGGATTAGCATTCTTTTACTTAGTGAAAAAATACAATATTTGATGGCTTAGTTGGCACTCTGCTTGGCATTGGAGATGGGGGAGAGAGAGATTGCATACATGGTCCTTGTCCTTACAGATGATAATCAAATAATCCTACATATACAAAACTGTAGCTGTGACATGTGTTTTAGAGGAATCACAGAAGTGATATTAGAACAGAGATCTACAGGATGCATACAAAGGAAAGAGTGTTCCAGTCGGAGCAAACAGCAGGGCACAAAGCCTCTGATGATGGTATAGCTCTATATAGAGCTAGAAGAGGGGAAAAATTTGGTAAGAAAAGGGACTGGAAGGGCAGGTAGGGAATAAATGGTGCTGGATGTTGTAGGGAGGTTGAGGAGTAAAGAGAAGTCTCTCTAAGGTTTTATTTAGGGACTTAAGCTGGATTTCAGGTTGGGATGGCACTGTTAGAGTATGTTTAATAGCTTGTTTTACATTTCTGCCACCGTTCAGTGTTTATATTGTCTTCTCTTCCCTTATTTCTTTAACATGCTCCTTATACTTTTTTTGTGGTTGAAAAAGCCTCCATGTCCCATGAGCAAGACCTGTCCATTTCTTTTTTTTAATTGAGAGAAAAGGAATTTTGGGAATTGGGATTGATTATTAGGAGTTAGTTGATTTTTCTTTTTCTTTTTTTGAGATAGAATCTCTGTTGCTTGGTCTGGAGTGCTGTGGCATAAACTTGAAGCAACCTCAAACTTTTGGGCTCAAGTGATTCTCCTGCCTCAGCCTCTTCAGTAGCTGGGACTACAGGCACCCTCCATGCCTGGTTAATTTTTCTATTTTTTTGTAGAGTTGGGGTCTTGCTCTTGCCCAGGCTTATCTCAAACTCCTGGTCTCAAGTGATTACCTACCTAGACCTCCCAAAGTACTAGGATTACAGGCAAGAGTCATTGTGACTGGCCTGACATTGGTTTTTTGTAATGTTGTATGATCAGCCTTCTAGAATCCAGTTTTTAGAATGTCCTTTTATTTTTAACCTTCAGAAAGCTTTTGTTTTATGAGCAGTTGCTGTGTAAAGTGAAGCGCTATTTAGCATGAGGACAAATAAAACTGTGTTCCTGGAATGAGTTGGTAGATCCCGGTGAGGTTTAGACACCTGTGCTATTTTTGGTGCTGTTGGGAAAGTGGGGATTTGACCAGAGTTCTTGTTGTCTTTATTACACTGAAGGTAGTGGTAGAACTGCACAAGGTACTTCTTTTTGTTATGTAACAAGCATGAAGTAGAAGATTTCGACAACAGAGATGTTTCATACAGAGAGTGTTTTATTTGGACCAATAGCAAGAAATTGATGTCCTAGAGTTGTTAGTATGTGTATTTTAAGATTAGACTTGGTCAAGTTTATAGTCACTTGAACACTAAACAAAAGACAGTGTTTACACTGGTGGGCTGGGACTTCATGTGGTACAAAGCCCAGTGAAGTTACATCTGTGATGAAATTATTGGGGATAAGGGCTCATGAAGAGTTACCCTGCCCTCTAAGTAGAAAGAAGAGGGAGGCAGTTATCATTTATGGAGCCCCTCTTATTTGTTAGTTATTGAATACCAATTCTCCATTTGAGAAGATGATTTAATGCTGAGAAAATTGAGGTTCGAGGGTATTAAGTCATGTTAAGTTATGGCATTAGAATCAAAGTATGGACCCATGTCTGTCTGCTTCCAGAGTCCATTTTCTCCCATCCTGCTGCTTTATATTACCTCCCTGAATCACTTTCTGATTTCACCATTAACACTGGGGATGAGGACACCAGCATGAATGTAGAAGCGGTAAAGAATTAAGCATGCTTTATGCTAGTTAATTTATTGATTGTCTTAGACATTGGCTTACCACTTCCTCAAAGAATATCCCACTTCCTCAAGCATCCAGAATCTTGCTTCAGCCTAAAGTTCTTTGTGTGATCTGTTAAAAATTGCATCATTCTTCTTGCAGTGCTTTTAGTTATCTTATACAAATCTTTTTACTTTTGAGTTCTGGCAAGTGCTCAATTTGGTAGAGCTCCCTGAAGTCACTGTCAGTGGTTTAGTTTGATCGAAGAGTGCACTGCCCTTTGCTGTATTCCCACACCCCCATGAATCTTCTTGTTAATGTAACTTTAGAAGAAAAGATGAAAATCAGTTTTTTGTTAACTTCTAACAGGTGACAACTTACAAGACATGATAGAACCCAGCAGGATTTCAGTGGTAAATACTGAGTCTATAGTTAAGACTATGCATTTCTTTATATGTATTCTGTATGGTCTTAACTTGTTTTTAGATGGTATTCTTTTATAAATACTGAGAAGTTATAAAATTAAGTATGCAGAATATGTGTAACATATACAGAATGACTGGACAACAAATATCCAATGAACCCAACAACTATAATAAGAAAAATATTATTGTTGCCATTAAAGATCTCTGTGCCTTTCCCTTTTCTGAGGTAATCCGAATTTTGTGTTTTCTTTATATTTGAACCATGTTGTTTGTATCCCTAAATTGTTGTTTAATTTTGTGTGTTTTGAGGTTTGCAAAATGGAATCACAATGTATATTTTTTTTGCAACTTGCTTTTTCCCCTCATAGCATTATGTTGTGTTGGCTTTGGTCATATTTTGGAAATAATCCTGGCTGTAGGAATATACATTTATTTCATAATTTTCCTTATTAGTTTTAAAAGGAATATGATTCATATGTTTCTGCCTTGTGGAAGTGAAAAAAAGATCGTTTCTGACTGGATAGAAAGAAGACTAAGAAGAATTTATTCCTATGTTTTAAGCAGTTTTTCTATATTTTCATTTACTATATTTATACTTTTATTTTAAGAAATTCTATCTCTGGGCAGTGCCTGTGGCTCAGCAAGTAGGGCACTGGCCCCGTATACCGAGGGTGGTGAGTTCAAGCCCAGCCCTGGCCAAACTGCAACAAAAAAATAGTTGGGCGTTGTGGTGGGCTGCCTGTAGTCCCAGCTACTTGGGAGGCTGAGGCAAGAGAAATGCCTAAGCCCAAGAGCTGAAGATTGCTGTGAGCTGTGACGCCATGGCACTCTACCAAGGGCAACAGAATGAGATTCTATCTCTTAAAAAAAAAAAAAAAAGAAAGAAAGAAATGCTATCTCCAGTGCTCCATTGTCCTCACTCTAGAGCACATCATAGGGCCATAC